TAAGGCCGAACGTCATTTTCATTGAACAGAATCATGGTCAACTTGCAGTTCAAATTTCATCTATGGCCATTGAAGATAGGACCTCCACAAGGTAGTTTTTCGCCAACTGTACAGCACATTGATTTGACGCTTGAGGAATATAGGAAAAATTAGGGTACATACCGAATGTCCAATCTTCGCTGCATGTATTATAGCCGATTTTCCACTTCCCGTCCTTATGAGGATGAGTGATCAATTTTCGAAGAGGATCTGTGGATAAAGTGCCGTAACAGAAATGTTTATGCTGAGAGTGGTGTGCCTCATTTCAACTGACTCGCGGCTGGGAGGTGGCTTCGCTCAATGAGCCGATCTTCAGATGGCGGTGGTACTTTCATGAGTATCTTCCAAGCGTTTAAAGAAGAGTGCAAGCGTTATGCTAAGCAAAAACGCCTCTCTATCAATAACAAGGTAGGTGTTTGTTCACTGTAGAAGGAACTACTGAACATGGGTGCTGTAGCAAGAATACGGGGGCAATGATGGGGCAATGCATTCAAAACTGTCAGAGTATCTCCTTTGTAAAAGCCTGGCTAAGCCTTAGGCTGGTGTCAGAGTCCGCGATCCGTCGCGCGATTCGCGCGACAGCGCGACGGATCACAGAAATCACAAGTGCCCCGATCAATACTGCGAGGTGCTCTCCAATCCCGCCGCCATTTCTGCTTGATGGTGAGAATGACGACTGTTCATGATTCTACTTGTTTCATATTCAGTGTTTCTGGGGCAGCTGACCAGGGTCAACCGTCCGTTGGACAAAGTCCAACGCGACGACGAGAGTAATGCCGAGAGTGAACGTACGCACGGAGACACAGACGGCTCGCGGGTGGCGAGAGTGAATGCCGGCGCGGAGAGCGGTGAACATCGGTCCAACGTCGCTCCAATATCGGTCCAACGTAACGGTTGACCCTGGCTGCGACTTTTAAGATTCGCGCTAATCGCGCGACAGGACGCGGACTCTGACATCAGCTTTACGAGGGAGGGAGGTGGAGAGCTGAAAAAGCGTGAGCACCACGCTCTTGCGACTGCGCTTAGAATTGTGCGTGATGCTTCATAGGCGTTTAGAGTTGACGATAATACATGCGATTAGGCGATTAGGCGATTGGTCTATAAGGAAAGAGATACGTATCGATGGGGCGAGCAGGCGAATAGGCGACCGCTCAATGAGCGGGCAACGCATCAATACGTGTACTTCCCTCATCACCTACTCGCTTACTCGTCTAATCGCCATATCGCCTAATCGCATGTACCATCGCCAACTCTGAACGCTGCCTTATCCTGCTCAAAAAAAACTTGTTCTTTTCAAGTCAAAGCTGTACAATATGGCGCCCAGCGACGAGAACGCGGAAGAGCTGACGACAGACAGCTTTTCCAATCTTGTCCAAGAAGTCGATACCTTCATCTGTGGAGCTGATGGTAAGTTTCATAGGGTTTCCGGCCTCACTTGCACTCTTAGGTCTCTCTATTCGATCGGACAATCACCAGTATCAATTTAGGACTGGTCTGGCTCCGCGAAGGTGTCATAACTGAAGCTGCCAGTCTGCTCAATCTACTAATCAATAACAAGAAACAAGTCATTATACTAACCAACGATACACCACCACTCGAGCGGATCACGAAAAGAAATTGGCTCAGCATAGGTTCAGTCCAAAAATCACAAAGGTAGGTAGCTCACGCGCTATGAATAGTGCGATGATGTGACCAATCCTGTTTTCAGGCCGATGTCAAACTTTGCGATTCGTGCGATTCGCCATCGTCCGCGTCACGTCGCGGCCAGCTATTCTACGAATTGGCTGGGTACGCGACCGCGAACCCTGCGTATCGCTACAGCGGATAGTCGTTCGCAAATCTGAACCGCCTGGAGCGCGATCGTTGCTAAAGACTTAAATACATGTGTGTATTCGGCAACAGGTGCTCTCAAATTCGTACACCACACAAGTGAAGAAGGCCTAAGGAAATACCCTGATAATTGATAGTTCCCAGAGCCCTTAATTCATGGATGATAAGTGTAATCAGCGTCGGATTATCAGAATGTGACTGCAACAGGCTGATCATTTCGTTGTTCCACATTTTATCCCATCCACAGTGGCTGTCGTCACTTCTGTTGTTTTGTCTGCATTACAGACCATACCTGACTGCAGGATACAAGGGGAACTCATACGCCGAAATGCTTCAAACACCCCATTTAACTGAGAAATACTTGTGACACGTTCGCAACTTTTGATGAGGCAGCAATACGGCTGATCCCGCTCCTCTGGATATGGCTTGAGTGACTTATAAAGCAGCTGGAAAGCGCCATTGACCGAAATTGTTTTCATGCCCACTCTAGGAACACTATGAACAGCTTCTTCAAGGGCGAACTATTGGGGATTGCCAGGACTGCTCCAAACAGCAACCCATTGAACCGCGCTCAAAACCGCCGATTTGAAGAATGACCGAATCAAGCCTCGACAACGGTTCCGGTACGCTGCCACGACCCTGGTGCGCAGTAAATCATGGCTGGACTTCCAGTACTTCCGTCGTAGGTCACAACTGACTTTGGCTCTACCGAGTACATACATCTCACCAAAGTGTAACCCTCACTAGTTCCGTGGGATGACTAAAGGAGCTCGTTGGAGGCAATACTGGAAAAGGAAGAAGCGAAAACGCTCATAAAACTCGCTGGTTCTAAATGGGATTGTGTAGAGCAACCATGGGCCCTGTTGGCTGCTCACCACGACGTGCCATATGCGCCGTACTGGGACCCATTGCTGTCTCCAACCGCCTCCACCTGAGTCATCTAACTGTCTGACTTCCTTCCCCTCGATGGAGGACAACAGCGGACTCTTTGCTCCTGCCTGCAACTAATGCAAGTAAAAAACAAGTGATAAAATTGGTAACTGTTAAAGCTCAAGCGTACAGTTGTGGAAGGACAGGAGCGTCTAATTTATTACAGGATGTAATAGTGACTCCTGGGCAAATTTTGGCGGATTACATCAAGAACGCCGGAAACTATTATGACAAGAAGGTCTACTTAGTCGCCTCAGAAGGAGTGGAGGACGAGCTTAAGAATAATGGTACTTGTGTAATTCATCAACAACAAAAGAACGACGCTGGTGTTCTTGAGGGGGCATCGTTACGCAGAGCCGGTGCACTTGATATGAGTCCATCCCAACAAATTAAAATCTGAGTAATTGGACATTGTGTGGGCTAACAAGGAGAGGGAGTGTGAAAAATGAAACGCTTAACCCTCTCCCCTTCGCTAGCGACTGAACATTGACAGAGACAGGGCGAAGGGTGTATAAGCATGTATTCAATTTTTCCATCACTCCCCTCCGTCCTACGCTTAGACCGCACAACGATGGTCCATCCCTACTACGAATCACGCCGGTAAACAAAACCATCCGTTTCTATTTTCACGGGATAGAATACTTCGGCAGGACCGGACACGTTGCAGGCTCCGGGACAAGGGAAAGAAGCTGTTGTCTTCAACACTGATATGGCTATCAAGGTACAGAAGTATTCAGATGGCTCCACTTCCCCCATCTCGAGCTTCTTCTCACATTCTCACTAACTGTATTTCAGAGAGAAGAGGTTTGCGCTGTGGTGGTCGGCTTCGATAAACATTTCAACTACAAGAAGATGATGAAAGCGGCTAATTATCTGAAAAACCCGAAATGTCTCTTCTAGCCACAACAACGACGCCACGTTTCCTTGTCAGAATCAGGACATTGTCGTTCCAGATGCAGGCAAGGCTATAGCGACTTCTTCCCTATTTTCTTCAGGGAACCGTAGAATCTTTTGGCATTCTACTGACACCCACTCTCCACACCCTATCTGGCGTTTCCAAAACAGCTCCCGGTCCTGGATGGGCTTCTGCGACGGCGCCATCCTAGTTAAGAGCTGGTGTATAAATCCGGGCTGCACCTTTCCCTCTCACGATAGTGCTTCCGCTTCACAGCAATCAAGCCGTTGTACTAAAAATTTGAAGGCAGCGAACACGATGACTGGGCAAACGGTTTGGTATCGCTGGAAGCCATTCGTGGACCGAAACGCCTACAAATGTAGGTAGGTACCGGAGAATCACGCTTTCTAAAGTCCTCGCGCAATGACGTTCCTACGACATGAAATACTCTTCCACCGACAGGCATCGTATTTTCTGCCTTAGTGATTGCTCGCGATCGGCCTTTCCCCTCCCAAGAACGTTTTTCCAATCGATTCTCCGCGCGTAGTATCCTACTGTATATATGCCTCAGGACCGAGCTTCAGCTATAAGAGGCTAGATTAAAGCCTTTGATCCCCTTGAATTTATCTTTGGCGTTTCTTCGTAGCGTTCGTTCCTGAAACTCTCAACCGGCGCTAAAATATAAAATCTGCAATATACATAAAAAATTGCCAACTGATGTCTTTATACTGGAGCGATTGGGTGGTGACCATTCGTAACTTTTCAATACTTCTCGTTTTGCTGGTGATACTTGCGTTGATATCTTTATACTGGGTATGGTTTCCATGAAGGAAAGGATGCTAAAGAATTTTGCAAGTAAAATTGAAGCGCGAACAAGAGCTTCCCTTCCGCTTCACTAGAATGAAGATTAGCAACAAAGCAGAGGCAACCATAAAACCTGGAATTCATGAATTCTATCCTCAATTTATATTACCAAGAACTGTAGTCGTTAAGCTCAAACGATCTTCGATTTAGGAGCGCTTGTAGCCTCAATTAGCAAGGCAGCCACTCGTGAGCCAGTCATCGTTGGGAAGCCGTACCTTCCAGCCTTTGAATTCATTAAGTCGAAATGGAAGATAGACGAGAGCCGAACTGTAATGATCTGCAGCAGGTCAGTGTCGAGCAACTGCACACTTTAACAGTACGAATTTCTAATACCCCATTTTGACCTGTGGAGGTTACGTGACTAGTTGAACTCTCTGTATTCTCTCTGTCGTGAAGGGCTAGAGTCCAAACGGGTAGAGGAGAGCTACGATTGAAGCTTCGAAATTGCGAGAAATAGATCCGTGAGCCAGGGGAAATTCAGGGATGAGTAGGCCACTAAACCACGCCCTAGAGACATTCAGGCGAGAGAGTGCTGACCAGAGCGGCGCACTCAAATCTTCAAGGCCCAAGTCCAAGTAGGCCGCTAGACTGGATGGAAAGACCTGCCTTCACGTGCATGTGCAGGTGTTAGTTTATTGTTGACCTTATACGAGGCTAACTTGACTCTTATTATACATTGTTTCTTCCCAGTGTAGAACAGCGGGGTTCGCGGTACATCCACCCCCTACCCATCTGTAGTGATTTCGCTGGAAAGTGAGTATGTTGCCCACAGATGCTTAGAAAGCCAAAGAACTATGACGAAGAAATCGAAGGTCGTATTTTGTGTCACTTTGACCGTGGTACGACCTAGAGACAGAGTAAGACGTGGGGAGAGAACAGACCAGAGAGTATCGCACCGAAGCGAGATGTAGGCAGCCCGCATGTTGGACGAGATAGGGTGCGAACCTAAGAAGCACAAGTGACGCATCCACAGCGCAAAGTTTGCCGGCGTCATTTGAACCTAGAACGGCTCCTATGGACTCGTAACAGCTCCATCCAACCCACCAAATGATTGTCTCTAGTAAGCTTAATCGTGGGTTATTTAAGGTCGGCTTGCGTCGCACATTGGCTCCTGATTAAGTGGGGCTAAACATGCATGCAGCGCTGCAAGTGCGCATCTGAAATCGCTGAACAAACCCTTAATTATCGAAACACTTAATGTAACGTAAGTAATAATTCACGAAAAAGAGCTGATTTGTGATACGAATTCCTGCAGTGGATGCCGTTTTCTCGCTATTAGCAAAGAGGATTTTCTCACCCTTTCAATCTTTTCCACAGCGATGACCAGAACCTGGATCCCGTGCTGATCGCGAATTCAAGTTCAAGCCACCCTTAGGCGGTGTTCTTGCTCAGTAACCCAGTACCAGTACCCTCGACATAGGCTAAATTTTCCCTTGAATTTATCTATCGTACTCGTTAAGATTTAGGAAACGTTTTTCAGGATAAACACAGATGTGAAATTTGGTCGAGACCATGGTCTGCGAACTTTGCTGATACTCAATGAGGCTCAGCAGATGGACGAGTTGGAGAAGTTACGAACAAGTGGACGAGTGGACCTGCTGCCAAACTACTATGCTACGTCGATCGCCTCAATTCTTCCACAAATCAAGCAATCATGATGTCTTATTCAAATTGATGACTGGGTAATAAACCAAGAAGCTGAAGCTTGTGGCGCAGACATCAACATGCTGTGAATGAAGAAAAGTTGAAGCCGTTGTGCATGATCGTAGCCTCTTTCTGCGCCTTTTAGAGCCGGGACTATGAAATGTAACAACTGCAACCTTCACGAGTAGTTCTATCTTACCATCCGAAAAGATTCATACACCTGAATTGATGGTGGGTTGCGCCGTTGACAACCAATTCTGTAGAACTAGTAACACTGCTGGTGGTGAGATTCCGTAAATATATGAAGATTTTTATAGATAGCGCCGAAAGCAAATGTGGTGCTTTTTACCTCATGTATCCTTTAAAGGCTTGCCCCAGGATCACGGGTGTCCCCCAAGAGGCCCATCGCGCGGCGAAGGAAGAGACGCAGATGCGGCAAAGGACGAGTCGCAGCGTGTGCTATGAGACGTAGTATATGGTACACTCTATTTAACCTGACGCCTAACCGCTACAGTATGCGCTGCGACTCGTCCTTTGCCGCGTCTGCGTCTCTTCCTTCGCCGCGCGATGGGCCTCTTGGGGACACCCCAGGATCACATTGGTGTGGCTCTTGCACACGAATGCGAATGTATTGGTGCGAAATGGGCCGGCAGTAAAGAAAAAAGGAAAAGAATCCGTCAAAAACGCTCAGGTTAAGGGCTCACTCACCTTCCTAATCGGCTGTGCTAAGGGAATGAGAGACTAAGCGCGGAGAGGAGAGTATGAGAGCGCTACAGATGAGAGCGCCAGACAACAGCCTGATAAGAGAAAAAAATCTGCAGCTTCGTAGCTTACTTTGC